TAAAAAATTAAGAATTTTCTAAGACATAAAATAAATGATGCTCTTAGACCAATAATATTGCAGGTTTGTGAACTTTTCGCACCAATYAGTTATAAAACAATGAAAAAAAGAAAGTAAATCCTTCAAAATTCTTATTTTTTATTAAAAGGATTAAAATGCAATTTAATTTATTTTCAAAAACTTGATTTGATGAAAAGATTTTGAATTTTAATTATCTCAAAATCTCGACTTTAGTCTCAAATTTGTACTCAATTTCACAAGCTATCAAAAATAAGCAATTATGATTTAAAACCAAAAGATTTTGCGATAACGTTTCGAAATTGTTTTGAAAAGTTCTTCAACATTGTTTATTCTTAAAAAACGCAAATTTTTAATAAATTTCAAATAAAAACTTAAAATTTCAATAAAAAAATTTATATTTTAAACCAATTTTTAAAATTTTTTACATCAGAAAATCCTCAAACTTTAAAACATTTAAAAAATGATTTAAGTTTTTTTCTCAATATTTAGACTAGCTTACTAGCTTAGTATCTACTCCAACTAAAATTTTTTTTCTAACTTCATTAACGGTTGGCGACCCGGAATTTGTCCGGTAATGGCGTTTCCGGAATTTTTGACGCGATTCTGGAGTTTTCACTGAAGTTGTCTACGACAAATTAGTAACAAATAGAAAAAACTCTTAATATTTGGAATTTCGTGTTTATTCTAATTTTTTTTTAGTAGCGTTAAAATCACTTTTAATGTCTTAAATTTTCTATTTTTCTATTTTCTCCTTCAAAAAAATGAATCAAATTCATTAATTATGTTATTCTCTTTCTCAAATTAATTCAAAATTAAGCTCTTTAGTGAAAAATTCCTTGAAAAAAATTTGTATTATCTCAAAAACTTCAAAACATTTTACGTAAACCTTTTACTATTCTAAAAAATTTAGAGAACAACAAAAAATTTGAAATACTGTATACTCGTTTTCATATTAATTTGATCATTTCCTAAAAAATATTTCTTTAAATAAATGTGTACCCCAGGTAGCAAAAAATATTTAAAATTAACAAGGTGATTAACAAGAGTAGCAAACATCAAGATTTTTGTCATTATTGATGTAATGAATGACATTAATGACACTTTCTGTGTAAATTGACCTTTAAATTAAAGTTGCATTTAGACTTCTACAACCTACTTGATGCACATTAATATAAAAAAAATCCTCAGTGAAAAATGGTCGTATTTAGATTTAAAAAATCCATTTTAAAGCTTCAAATTTCTAGTCTTGAAATGTTTTGACAAAAATTTTTTGTGAGCTACGGTTATTACGTAATCTTAAGAAATAGCGCGAGGAAACAAAATTGTATTTTTTTTTATTTTATTTTTTTTTTGGCCCACGGACTTGGGGAAATTTTTATTAATTAAATCGATAAATGAGCCGTATAACTTATTTACTTAACTTTGATTTGCTCTTTTATGTTCTCTTTACGTGGATTGGTCGCCGAGATATTTGACTTTTTATGAAAAAGGATTTTTTTGCCTTTGATCATTGGTATCTCAAAAACTGGAAAAAATTTACGATTTTTTGAAAAAAAAATTGCAACATTGATTTAAAGAAAAAAGAAAAGAGTAACTTTTTCTGTTGTAGTAGTAAAC